ACCAATTCTTTGGGTTGTGAGATGTTGTTACGCCCATTTTACAGACAAAACTGGGCTTAGCAACCTTTGTGAAGGGTCACGTAACTGGTAACTTGGGAGTTTGAACCAGAAGACTTGACCTCACCACATGGTCCCTTGCAGGAGTTCCAGAACAGTGTGACACATAGCAGCTGGGCTGGCTTCAAGGGCGTGTGACATATGAGGTCCCACAGGATCCAGATCACAAGAATTTCTGCTTGGTTTAGTGCTCTGCTGTTGCTGTCTTGAAATCTTAATATAGTTAGTTTATTTTTGAACTTGCGTCTTGTTCAGTGGGACAATAGAGCATACATGGTGCATGGGGGTAGCCGGTGGCAGCGTGCACATGGGGTGTGGTGCAGCCTCAGCCCACGTGTGAGCGGGCTTGGGCTCCTGGTGCTGCACGAATGCGTGGGCCTGGGGCAGTGGAGGTGGGTAGGGAGGGGTTGGGGGAGGTAAGGAGGGGTGGGAGGGTGAGGAAGGGAGGAGAGGGCTAGGGAGGGGCTGGAGGGGGCTCCAAGGAGATGCCCTGGCCCCTGACCTGGTGGTGAAGTTGCAATAGCAGAAGGCAGGTAGGAGAGAGAAGGTTGGGGCAGTGCCTTGCTTGTCAGTCCCTGAAGCCCATCCCTGACAAATCTGCACAAGTATTAACTCTGTCCTGAGTGCCAGAATAGGAACTGCAGCCAGTAAACTGTCAGTAGATTACTACTAGGAAAAAAAAAAAAAAAAAAGTACTCATGGACATTGCAATAAAGCATATCAAGGAGTTATTAGAATTCTTCAAAGATTTAGAATTTTTGGTTTGGAAAGCTGCTGCATGATTTCACAGCAAATGTCCAGGCTTAGAACTAAAAAATTAAATTTAAAGATTGTTCTATTTTCGGTTGACCTATTAAACTATTTTTCACATGAAGCTTAACATGAACCAATTGACAAGGAAAGCAGTTTTAAAATGAACTTTTCCTTGTAACTAAAGGTACAATGATAGAATGCATAACTGCAAATCATGAAGCCACTTTCAGTGTCTCATAGAACATCCACAAATTACAGGAACTGTTAGAGGAAACATTAAAATTCCACTGCAGAAACTTGCATTTACAATTAAATTTAGACTTACCTGAAAATGATTTGTATGAAGAGTTAACTCTGTTTTAGAAAAATTGTTCCATGAGACCCATTAGCTCTAGATGTACTAACATTTATGTTTCAAAATAATTTATCAAAAATTTATCCCAATGTCATCATAACCTATAAAATACTCTTAACAGCTCCAGTAACAGTTGCATCAGCAGAAAGTTCCTTCTCAAAATGAAAAATTATTAGAAATTATTTGCAATATTTTATTTGCCAAGAGCAACTGGTGTAGCTTCCAATTATATTGATTTGAAAAAGAAGTAGCTGAAAGTATAGATTTTGATGATTCAGGAAATGAATGTGCAAAAATGTGAGTCAGAAAAATATGCTTGATCATGATCTCACATTAATAAAGTATTATTTGTATTATAAAACATTCAGAAATGTTTTTTAAATGTTCATAAAAATTATAAAACCAATTTTTTTTGTAATTTGTAGGTTTATGTTGTTACCCATATATCAGAATTACCATCATGTACAGTAAAGTCCCTGGGTTACAAACGTTGGACCTAAGGACAACTTCTACTTGCCCTTTAATGTTATGTAAAGTTGCCCTCACTTTGAAATGATTGAACCAACCCCTACTTGCAATAAATTCTTCATCACGATTACCTTTGCTTGTAGCACGTGCAGCTTTTAAATCATTGAAAAGGCTTCTCTTGTGCTTAAAAAAAAAAAAAAAACCAAGACCAAACCTGTTACCGTCGAGTCGGTTCTGACTCATAGTAACCCTATAGAACAGTACATAGAACAGACTAGAGCTGCCCCAAAGAGTTTCCAAGGAGCACCTAGGTGGATTTGAACTGCTAGAGCTTTTAGTTAGCAGCCAAACTCTTAACCACTATACCACCAGGGTTCCCTTCTTGGACTACAGTAAAGCTAAACAAGAACCGTATGCACGTGTTCCAGCTTAGCTAAAAATTCAACTTAAAGACATAGGAAAGGATCTTGTTTGTAACCCAGGGACTGCCTGTAATAAAATCGTTTAAAAGGAAAAAGCTTTATATTGTAACACTTTGAATGGCATCTGTGATGGTTAAGATTGTATGTCAACTTGGCTGGGCCATGATTCTCAGTGTTTATATGTGATCCCTACCATGACTGAATATGCTCTGAGTAGCCAGTCAGATGAAAGGGAGTTTCCTTGGGGGTGTGGCCTGCATCTGAATATAAGCAGACGTTCTGGCTTTTTGCTCACTCTGGATCCTGCAGCTGCCTCCTGTCGTATCACCTCCGGTTCTTGGGACTTGAGCTGTCAGGTTATCTGCAGAACTTGGGATTCGTCTATCTTCACAGTCTGTGAGCCGGAGCCCTGCTCTCCAACCTGCCAATCTTGGGCTTGCCAGCTTCTGCGGGTGCGTGAATTGGGAGAGGCCTGTACCCTGATCCATGGACTTGGGACGTTTTAGCCTCTACAACTATGATATAAATCTCTCTCTATATATATTTATACGCTTTGCTGGTTTTACTTCTCTAGAGAACCCAGCCTAAGACAGTACCTTCTTCCTGCTTTTTGAACAAAGGGTCTGCATTTTTACTTTGGACAGGGCCCGCAGTCCTGTCACCAGCTCTGCTTAGTCATCTTCTCTCAGTCTTAGGTTCTTCTTCAGTGGAGCACTTCTAAGCTGACTGGGACCATGCCACCCCAGGAACCTATCTCTTGACCTTGTGGGGCCTGCTAGCGACATCTTTACTTCATTTTGAGAGGGGATTGTGTATACTCCCATGTTTCATTTGCTATTTTCTTTGATTTTTCTTCAGTGGTTTATTTATTTATTTTTTTTCCCTATCATCCATGTAACCCAGCTACAGTGGGCTTTCCTGGGCAGTCTTTGCTTTTGTCTGGGATGCACTGAGAGGCCATGCTTAGCACTTTATATTAATAGCACATTATGGCTTGAATGGTTTCCCCCCAAGAAGATATGTTGAAGTCCTAACCCCCAGTACCTGTGAACATGACCTTTTTTGGAATAGGGTCTTTGAAGGTATCAGTTAACGGGAGGTCATACTAGAGTAGGGTGGTTCTAATCTGATGTGAGTGGTGTCCTTATGAAAGAGAAGGAGACAGAGACGCACAAAGGGAAGATGGCCATGTGACCACAGAGTTAGGCTATAGCTGTAAGCCAAGGAAGACCTGGGGTTACCAGAAGTCAGGAGAGACAAGAAACCAGCTTTTGAACAGAGCATGGCCCTGCCAACATGCTAATTTGGACTTCTGTCTCCAGAACTGAGACAATAAATTTCTGTTCTTTAACGCTAACCGCTTTGTAGTACTTTTTTAAGACTGCCCTAAGAAATGAATACATAGCATCACCCAAAACAGATCCATCCCCACAGGGCACTGACTGAAATTTTGTGAATAGGTAGGAAAAAGAATTCTCATTGCATACCAGACAGCAGAAACACAATAAAATTCCCCATGAAAATTCTTTTGATCTCCCCTAGTAGTCCCTCTAAGAAGCTGGCTAGCGTATCACAATTTCCTTTCTCCACACAGTCTCTCAAGAACCCTTTTAATGTCCTGAACAATTCAGAGCTGGCCCTGAGCATTCGTACCTGAGTAAATGGAAGGCTAGTGGTGAGTCTGGTAAAGACCACCTGCTGTTTCTCAGCCCTGCCTTTGGTTCAGGGTGGGCTTGCACCTCACTCCAAGAACTTTCTGAAACTTCTTCCCAGCAAAGGCATGTTTTATCCTAAGGTATAACTCTCTTGCTAAGAAAAGATACTCTCTCTCTCTGTTTTTTTTTAGCCTCCTCACTAACCTTTCATTGTTTTTCTTCCAAATTTTGCATAGTTACCCTCAGACTCTTCTATTTTCTTTTTCTCTTTTTGAGTTCTATTTGTGAGTCAAAAGTATATTCAGTAATTTCACAAATACTGATGCTTTGCATTTTGGTGCTCAATAAAGATTTATTGCAAGGATGAACCCTTTGTGATTCTGTTACTGTCAGAGATTTTCAGGATTGGAAGCAGTCCAGATAATATAGTCATTAACCTCTTTTGTTTGATCTTCAGAAATGGGAAACTCCATTAACACTCAAACAGTCGTTATTATCTTGGGCAGCTGTTATTATTACAAAGCTCTTCCTTATATTAAGCCAAAATCTGTCTCCTTTCCAGGACTGAGGGAATGAAAAGGCTTACTGTTAAAAAATGAAATTAGGCAAAAGAAAATGCTTTGCTTTCCCACAGTACTAGGAAGTTCCCCATAGTCCCTTCAGAGTCCTCACAAGCTTCCATCTCTCTAGCCTCTAAGATTTTTTCAAACATTTGATTTAAAAATAACATACATTATTAAATATTGTTTTCATATATTTTAATTGTTAGCATTTTTGACTATCTTGTATTGCATTGTGTGGTGTGATGAATTACTTATCATGGTCTTTCTTGCCATGGTCTTGTAACTCCTACCCAAGTGATTGGGCGGGGCTGTGCAAATAAGGTAATTGTGGCCCACCATGGGATTGGTCAGTTTTGCTTCAAAAGAGAGCCAATTACAGAGCAGACCGAAGAGCCCACCACCATCAAGGAAGGAAAGACCAGCAGGAGAGACCCAGCAGCAGGACACAGCGAAGTAGGCCTCCTGGCCCATGGAAAGAGAAAGATGAGTACCTTTGGGCAGAAACTGAGGGCCAGGGAGAGGCATGCCTGTGAGCACAGCTGAGAAGAGGCTATCCTGATGGAAGAACTGTATCTTGAGTGTTCCTGAGCCTGAGTTGTAACTGTTACCTTCCTAATAAACCCCAAATCGTAAGTATGATCTGTGAGTTCTGTGTGGCCATTGCAATGAATTATCGAACCCAGTGGAGAGTGCTATGGGAGGGACAGTTGGTGTCAGAATTAGTATAGATGGCAGAGAGAGGAGGCTTGTCTGGCCTCCACCTCATGAGAATCAGCCTTGGGCTGTTGATTTTGGTTCTCCTTCCCCCTTGTGAAGTTAGAGGAGGTCAAACACTGCCTCCAAGCCGTTTTTATACACTGGATTAGGAGGACTTTTGTAGGATAATTTAACTACCAATTATAATACTATTTCATTTGAAAAATGAATATTTCCAAAAAGCTGACAAGTCCATAAAGTTTTGAAAAGTCCAGGGTGTGGTATGATGAAGACTACATGTGTAAAGTGCTATTGAAAACCAGGATGCTTTTTGAGAACTTGATGGAGGAAATAACAGAAGTGACCACATTTTGGACCCAATCAATTCAGTTTTGTTAATTTTACTAGGTTTCATGGCTGTATGTGAAGATTTGGAGCAAAGTAAATGGACAGCTACTATATATTCTAAAGTGACCAAACTGTCAATGTAGGAAGAATAAGCACATTGCTCACCAGGGGTTGCTTTTTAGCTCACCTCCACATTCAGACTGGGAGGACAATGTGGCAGAGCTGGCAGGAGCACGCTCAGAAGAAGGGCGCATGAAGGAGCTCCAAGAGCAGCAGACAGTGGCAGGCATTCCTCTTCTATGCAGCTGTCAACTCAGAACATCCAGGAGATAGCTTCCCCTCGGATGCGAGTGTGGGATGTGCCCTGGCTCAAGAGACTCATGCTTCACAGAGCCAATAGTTCCAGGAGTATAGCCCCCAAGACGTCAGGTACAAGAGTCCCCCAGCTCAGGGAAGCCCAAAGCTCAGCAACCCATCAAGTATGTATGGTTTGTTTATAGCTCCTCCCAGTCCTAATGCAACTTACAGGGATCCTTTTTATTATACACCGTGTTGCTTAGAAACACCTTGGACATTTCATTCTTACAAGGTTACAGGAGAGCAGAGCTAGGAAGCTACCCTAAGGGAAAATACTCATGCAGAAAGGCAAACGATTTTGTTAACCCTTTACCTACAATATGTAAATACAAACTAAGGACAGCAGAGGCACAGATTGCAGTTTCTAAGTATTGTAAACTTAAATTAGAAATCAGATTTCCAACAATATTAACCAGAAAATAAAGCAAAGCCAAACAAAACATAAATCTTTGTGTAGTTAATAGCTATCCCAAAGACCTTGCCCCTTATTGAGTGATTGTGTTATTCACCATATACGTCTAGTGCCATGTATCAGAGGAATTCAGCCAATATTGAATGAATAAGTTGATAAGTAAGAGGCTTTCCTCAGGATAGATAATTGAAAATAAAACAGACTCATTTTTGGAAGTAGCAGCAGACATTCGCTTTTGAGTCAACAAAAGCCGACAGGACAGGTATTCTGATAGCCTAATGAGTGTTATGGACTAATTTATTTAGAAATAAAAGGCCCTCAAAAGCCACTGCCGCGTGTCAGCTGAGTTATTAAATAATATATTAATGCTCCTGAGGAGTTAAGGAAAAGTTGAATAGTGCTTTGAATCTTTGGTTTAAGAAGGCAGAGAGGTGTCAACATTTTTAGAAATCTGTTTTACTAATGTATCTGTTAAGAGATGTGATGGTTAACGAAATGTGTCAACTTGGCTAGGCTATGCTTCTCAGTGGTTTGGCAGACATTATGTAATCACCGTCCATTTTGTTATCTTATGTGAGCAGCCAGTCAGTTGAAAGGGGAGTTTTCTCGGGGATGTGGCCTGCCTCCAGTTCATAAATGGATGTTGTGGCAAAGTTCGCCCTCTTTTCTTGACCCTGCACTCTTCTGGTCACCTGACCTCTGGTTCTTTGGATGTAAGCCTATAGAAGCCTCCAGCTTGCCTTCTGACCTGCAGAGTTTGGGTTCATCAACCCCTGCCACCACGTGAGCCAGCAGAGGTCTTCAGCCTGTTGCCTGACCCACTGATTTGGGACTTGCCAGCCCCCACAACTGTGTGAGCCGTTTCCTCCCAATTTTGTGAGCCGTTTTCTTGAAGTAAATTTCTCTCTATATATATATGTATCTATGTATGCTTCCCTGGTTTTGCTCCTCTAGATTACCCAGACTAAGACAAAAAGACAACTTTAATTTCCTGGAAAATATTGCCTTTCTGGAATGTTTTATTCCTTTATTGGTCAAATTTACATCTCAAACTATGATTTCTTTTCATGAACGTAGAAATATTATATTCCAAATAATATGATAAATCTTACATCTACTGAGTGCTCAACAAAACGTATACTTTAATTTACTTGAAATTTCACTTTTTGGTTTTACCATCACTCACTAGGTATTGAACTTGATGTTTAGTGACCACAGCTCAAGGATTACTCTGAACACAGAAAGATGTCATCATTAGGTACAGTTTGCAAATGGCAGGCATGTGTAGTGCATTTTATGAGTATAAATTTTTTTTTAAAAGGGAGCTTATATCATGTATTCAGATGTATCAATGGAAAGAGCATTTTACTGAATTAACTATGAAAATAAGTTTTCCTTCTCAAGCTAGTAGAGTATAAAAGTCTAATATGTATTTTTTTTGTTTCTTATGGAATAAAAAACCAAAAGAAACAAACCTGTTGCTGTCGAGTCAATTCCGACTCCTAGTGTCCCAATAGAACAGAGTAGAATTGCCCCATAGGGTTTCCAAGGAGAGGCTGGTATATTCAAACTGCTGATGTTTTGGTTAGCAGCTGTAGCACTTAAGCACTATGCCACCAGAGCTCCTATGGGGTAAAGAAGCTGGGAATTATTTGACACACTCAGATGCAAACAAAAAGGTTAGTTACAGATTTATTTTGTCTAATAAGGAGGGTCACTCCCACTAAGGACCTTGATATAATCATCTAACTCCAGTAGAAATTAATAGGGAGTAAAAATAAGCCTTTAATTTGTGAACCAAAAATTATTTTTCTTAATTACAAAACTAACATGTACCTTTAATCTCATGTTGAAAAACTATCAGCTTAAACACTGATTTAGAAAGTGTTTATAATTACCCCTTTTCTATTGTGCTGTCAGTTTTAACATTAAATAGGGTAAATAGGCATTAATTTATTTTTATAAATATATTCACTGAGTTCACTGGAAAGGTTATGATGTCCTTATTTACAAAATGAAAAAATGGTGAAAACTGGGTAGATAATTTGAGTGCCTTGTCAAATTATCTGTGTGTCCTGGCACCTCTAGATACCCTGTGAGTTCTTGGTGGACTGAGGGCATTGAACAGCACTGGAAGAAATTCCACACAGCTTATCTTTATAATACTTTGTGTTTATTGCATCACCACACTTGAGGATTGAGCTTTTGGTGTTTTCTCGGTTTCAATTTGAAACTGCTTTTTTCTCCCTTTCAATGTAGCCATGCATGTGTCAATTCCAAGGTACTGACTGAGGGCCAGCAACATTTCTGAAGATATCAATCTAAAGAAAAGCAGAGAAAAAATGATGTTCCTTCAAGAGGAGTCAAGAAAACTTCTTGGCAAAAATGAATTGTGGATTTCACAAAGTGTGGACCACAGTGGCCCGTGCTGTGTATGTCATTACATGGGTCCCGACCCTGAGCGCCACCTGTCACCCTCTATTCTGATGGGTTTCAACCCTGGTTGCTCATCAGAACCACTCGAAAGCTTTGAAAAATCCCAAAACTCAGGCTACCACGTACACACATATTCACTGAATTCTGAGGAAAGACTATGGTACCTTATTTACTAGACTAACAAATGATAGCAAACACTGGAAAGAAGAGCAGGCCAACTTAACCAGAATGTCTGGGGGCAGGGCCCCGGCCTCAGTAGTTTCAAATGTTCCTTGGGTGACTGCAAGGTGCAACCACAGTTGAGAACCACTCCCTTTGTTCCTGGAGGACAAGGGCCATGCCTTAAGCTTAGTTCTGCTTAGGTCACCTCATTTCTGCTCAACTCAACCCAATTTAGCAAATATTGATTGTGTGCTTATTGTATGTTAGGCAGCTGAGGATGGAGCAATAAACAATCAAGAAGTGGGGTTCTGCAAGGAGGACAGAGATTATACAAACAACTGTAGGTGTGATGTATGCTACAAAAGGGCAAGGAGAGCTCAAGCTCAGGAATCAGATTTGAAACTTTGTTCCAGCACTTCACTAGCTGTTTAACCCTGCAAAAGCTACTTCCCCCGTCTAAGTCTCAGATTCCACACCAGAAAGGGATAATGACAACATGGACCCTAAAGAATCTGGGAGAGGACTGACTGTGATACTATGCATGCCATTCTGTCATGCTGCATGGTACCTGGCACAGAGTAGACCCTCTGTGAATGTTAGGTGTTGTTTTGTCTTATCTCCACAGAATATGGTGGGCCTGGGCCAGATCCATCCAGGGATATGCTGGAGCTCTTAACATAGGCTTTGCATGAAGCTGTAGAGGCTCTCTCATTAAAAGAAATGAGGAACTTGCCAAATACCCTTAATATTTATTTGGCAACATACTCAGGTTTTTTGTCCTTTGTTTTCAAAACAGACGTCTATATTAAAAAACAAAAAAACCAAACCCATTGCTGTTGGGTTAACTCATGGTAACCCCATGTGTTACAGAGTAGAGTCTCTTCATAGGGTTTTCTTGCCTGTAATCTTTAAGGAAGTAGATCATCAGGAGTTTCTTCCATGGCACTGCTAGGTGGGTTTGAACCGCCAACCTTTAGCTTAGTAGTTGAGTGTAAACCATTAGCACCACCCAAGGACCTTGGAAGTCTACATTGGTCAAAATAAAATAATTTAGGCTCTGTTTGATTCAGGGTTGAACATAAATAACTTGCACTCCAAAAGGCCTAAATAGGTGCTATGTTTTCTTTGTGTCTGAAGCAACCAAGACACAGCTTGCAATGGTCCAATAAATTGTCCTTGCACTATTATGTTCTTCCTTTTATCATTTAAGAAAATGTAAAGTTTCTTTCTAGGCAAAAGTGGTAGCAATGATCAGACACTTTGTTTACAAATAACGAAAGAGATAGAGGGAAGTCATTATTAACTTACTGTTTAAGGATCAATGCAACATACAAAAATTTGGGTATTACTAAGTAAAATTGTTCCTCTAAAATAGCATTTACAATGCTTTGCACCACAAACTCCGGATCCAATAGAAGTAATAGAAATGGGTACCTGGAATGACAATAACAAAAAGTGATTTCACTGCTGTCATCATGAGCACCAATTTTTAAATTTCAGATATGGAGTTACAACATGTAGCTCTAAATAGTCAAATAGAATGTAAATAGTAGAGACTGTCTTGTGTTTCCCCCAATGACCAATATTGAAAGCAGTGCTGATACACTTAATTTCCTAAAGTGAACTCCTTGCCTTACCTTAGGTGATTTTCTGCTATGTGATGGACATGTGGAAGAAGTTGCTTTTAGAATTTTTTTGTATCTTTCTTCCCTTTCCCCTCCCCCAAAGCCAAATAATTACATACTATAAAGAAGCAAGATTGCAAAAAATATTTTATTATTTTTACCAAAAAAAAGAAAGAAAGAAAAATCTCTCTTGAGTACGTATAACGTATCTTTATTTCAAACACCCCATTTAGCAGAAATAGATGTTCATGATATTAGCCTCATCAAATCAACAGGAGTTAAAATGCATGAAAATATAAATTAAGCTCTCATAAGGTATTACTTTGGCATGTTACACTTTCATATTATGCTTCTTTATTACTTGAACCACACCCTTGCAAAAATTCTGTTTATCTCAGCTGATTCTTGCAATCTTGATCAATTTTCCATAATTGAATGTGAGTAATTAATCTTATATTTTATTCTTTAAAAAGTTCCCTATATCTGTAGCCTAAAGGACTCTAACATTTATTTAAAAATATAATCTACAGATCATTGTTTTCTTTCATACTCTATCATTTTAAGATGATCGATTTTTCTTTTTCTGGAGACTTTTTTTTTAGCTTTTGTGTACTGAGGGTCCCCAAGTTTACAAAAGCTCTCATTTAACATTGCTGCCTTTGTTGGCTACCATGTCACTTCCTCTTGGCTGGTCACGTTCCTTCTGTCATCTTTACAATCTAGCTTTTGTTCTTACCATTCCAAAGAGGCTGTCACTATGCTAAGTTCTATGTGCATAAGTTTATTATAGATTTTACTGATATAAATCATATATATAGTACATGATTTACAAATAATAAAATACACAATGCTGTTTATTATAAATTCCATATAGTAAATTTCTTCTCCCAGAATGCTCATTTTGATTTTTGCTGAATTCTTTTATCACATATAACATTCCATTTTATGGACGTGCCACATTTTGTTTATCCACTCATCTGTTGATGGATGTTTAAGTTGTTTCTACCTTTTGGACATTATGAATAATGTTGCTATGAACATTTGTGTAGAAATTTTTGTATGGACGTATGGTTTCATTTCTCTTGGGCATTTCTAGGAGTGGAATTGCTGGCCCATATGGTAATCCTATGTTTAACATTTTCAGAAACTGCTGATCTATCTTCTAAAGCAGTTAAACCAATTTACAATTCCACTCTTCCACCAGCAATATATGAGGGTTCAATTTCTCCATATCCTTGTCAACACTTGTTATTCTCTGGCTTTTTGATTATAACTCATCCTAGTTAATGTGAAGAGGTATCTCATTGTATTTTTTTATAATAGCTTTATCGAGACAAAATTCATATACCATAAAATTCATTCTTTTAAGATGTACAGCTTAGTGATTTTTAGTATATTCAGAAAGTTGTTTACCACTAATTCCAGAACATTTTAACACCTCCCCCCAAAAAATCTTGTACCCATTAGCAGTCACTCCCTACTTCCCTTCCTCTCAGTCCCTGAAAACCACTAATCTACTTTCTTTCTTTATAGATTTTGCCCATTCTGGACATTTCATAAAAATGGAATCATACAATATGTGGCCTTTTGGGTTTGGCTTGTTTCACTTAGCATAATGTTTTAAGGTTCATCTATGTTGTAGATGTATCAATACTTCATTCCTTTTTCTAACTGAATAATATTGCATTGTATTGATATTACCACATTTTGTTTATCCATTCACCATTGATAGATATTTAGGTGGTTTCCATTTATTGGCTTTTATAAATAATGCTGCTATGAACATTTTTGTACAAGTTTTTATGTGGATATATATACTTTCATTTCTCTTGGGTAGATACCTAGTAGTGGAAATGCGGGGCTATATGGTGAGTCTATGTTTAACTTTTTTGAGGAACTGCTGAACTGTTTACTAAATATCTCATATCTTTTTTGTCCCCTGTTCCTCTTTCTTTTGAATCAAGTGAATATTTTCTGTTGCAATATTTTAACTCTTTTAATGATTTTTTAACTGTATTTTTGAGTTATTTTCTTAGTGATTGTTCTAGGGCATACAATATGTATCTTTGCTTAACAGAATTTACTCCAGGTTTTACCTAATTCCAGTGAGATATAGAAACTTTACTCCCAGAAAAATCAAACCAAACCTGTTGCCGTCGAGTCGATTCTGACTAATAGCGACCCTGTAGGACAGAGAACTGCCCCATAGGGTTTCCAAGGAGCAGCTGGTGGATTTGAACTGCCAATCTTTTGGTTAGCAGCTTCCCTCTCAACCACTACGACACTGGGGCTGATTACCTCTCCTCCTTTTGTGCTACTATTGTTATATGTATTATATGTATATATGTTATAAACCCAACAATGCATTATTGTAATTATTACTTTATAAATTTTACTCTTTAAAGAAACTGATAGGAAAAAGGAGAGTAACTATATATTTATAAAGTTTATTATATCAGCCATCTCCATTTTCGGTTCTTTTCGTTTCTTCCTGTGGGTTTAAGTTACCATCTGAAGTTATTTCCTTACTCCAATACAGATTTGTTCCCACCCACTTCTTTCATGCTCTTATTGTTAAATGTATTACATTTCTATATGTTAGAGGGCCAACAATAATATTATGTACATCTTGTTTATGCAATTGCATTTTAAATCAGTTAGGAGAAGAAAGATGAAATACATATTTATACTGTCTTTTTTAAAATTATCCACTTTATTACTTTTGTGGGAGCTCTTTTTTTTTTTTTTTTATGGGGATTCGTATTACTCTTTGGTGTCACCTTTGTTCAACCTGAAGAACTTCCTTTATTATATCTTGTAAGTCAGGTTTGCTAGCAGTGAATTGTCTCAGGTTTTTTTTTGTTGTTTTTTTTTGCTTGTTTTTTAAAATCTAGGAATGTCTTCATTTTTGAAAGACAGTTTTGTTGGATATAAGATTCTTTGTTGGTAGTTTTTATCTTTCAGAACTTTGAATATACCATCCCACTGCCTTCTACATTCTATTGTTTCTGTTGATAATTCAGCTGTTATTCTTATTGGGGTTCCCTTGTACATGATGGGTCATTTTTGTCTTGCTCCTTTCAAGATTTTCTTTTATCTTTGGATTTCAACATTTTGATTATCATGGGCTGGGCATGAGGCCGCTTGTGTTTATCTTACTTGGAGTTTGTTTAGCTTCTTGAAGATGTAAGTTAATGTTTTTCACCACATTTGGGAAGTTTTCAACCATACTTTTGGAATATTTTTTTTCTGCTCCTTTCTGTTTCTTCTCTCTTTCTGGTAATCAGCATACACTCACATGTACCATATTTTTACACAAATAATGCCAACTTCTACGTTCGTTTGCCGATACTGTATTTTTATTCAAATAATGTGCACCTCCAATGCTTATTTGCCAATGGTGCTCTCCCCCCGCAAGGTATTTTTTTAAGTGCACTATGCTAATTTTTTTACAACAACATGTAAAAAAAATTGGCATAGAGATGCTTACAAAAATACCTCGTGGGAGAAGGGCACAGTTGGCAAACAAATGTAGAGGGTGCATGTTATTTGCGTAAAAATATGATGTATTGATGTACTTAATGACTGAAGAAAAATTAATGCCTTTGAATTACGGTGTTGGCGAAGAATATTGAATATACCCTGGATGGCCAGCAGAATGAATAAATCTATCTTGGAAGAAGTACAGCCAGAATGCTCCTTAGAAGTGAGGATGGCAAGACTTTGTCTCATGTGCTTTGGACATGTTATCCGGAGGGACCAGTCCCTGGAGAAGGGCATCATGCTTGGTAAAGTAGATGGTTAGCAAAAAAGAGGAAGACCCTCAACAATATGGATTGACACAGTGGCTGCAACAGTGGGCTCAAACATAGCAACAATTGTGAGGATGACGCAGGACCAGGAGGCGTTTTCGTTCTGTTGTACATAGGGTCGCTATGGGTTGGAGCCAACTGCACGGCACCTAACAGCAACAATAATGATGTCCCACGTTTCTCTGAGGCACTGTTGATTTTCTTCATTCTTTTTTCACCGCTTTCTTCTAATTGCATAATATCTCTATCTCTCTCTATCCATCGATCTACAAGTTTACAGATTTTTTTCTTTTGCCAGCTCAAATCTACTATTGAGCTGTTCTAATTTTCTTTTCAGTTATTATTCTTTTCAACTTACTCATTTACATTGGTTCTTGTTTTTATAATTGCTCTCTTATTTGATATTTGATGAGAGATTGTCATCATACCTTCCTTTTATTCTTTAAATATGGAATGCTTTAGATCTATGAACATATTTATAATAGTTACTTTGAAGTTTGCTAAATCTAACATCTGGGCTTCCTCAAAGGTAGTATCTATTGCCTACTTTTTTTCCTGTGTATAAGTCACACTTTCCTATTTCTTTGCATATCTCATAATTTCTTGTTACAAACTGGAATTTTAGATAATATATTGTATCAACTCTATACAGTTGTCCCCTATGGGGTTATTACTATTGTTGTTTGTTTACTAGTTTAGTGACTTAACTGGACCAGATCAATGAAGTCTGTACCCCCTATAATGTGCAACTTCTGATGTTATTCCTCAGAGGATGAAGTCTTGGGCAGGTACAGTCTTCCTGACTGCAAGGAATAACTGTAGTTTTAGCCAGGCTTTCTTTGACTGTCTCTTTCCCTGACTGAGATTCTACTGGTCTGCCTCACACAGCACTTAAACTCCACAATTTGCTACTTGGTTCCACTATTCTTTTTGACAATGCCATGATGAATGGTCTGATTTAATTGAAGTCAATCCTATGACAGGGGAAGGTTGTTGCCAGTCTTTGAGGCTAGCTTTGACCCTCACCTGGCATAACCTCTGCACTGTGGAGCAGGAGCTGAGGGCAATGAGAAGCTCACTTGTCACTGGGTGTCCCACCCGAATCGTCTCTACGGAGTAGGATCTGAGGGTTGGGGACGGGTGGCAGGAACTAATGTACCACCAAGTTCCTGCCACTATCCAGTATGGATCTTCTGCAGCCCAGAGCCTGGGAGGATAGAAGCTGCTGATGTTCACTGTTTGGCAAATATACCTGAAATAGGTCTTCACCCTAGGAAGTTCAGGGAGCTGGGAGCTACCACTGGACTGCTGGCCCCACCGGACCAGCTCCTACAGCACAGATCTGTGCTGGAAAGAGGAACTGCACTCTTCACCAACAACCTCTCCTGAATCTCCCCTACTTAGTGGGAGTTCATGGGGGAGGAACAAGTGCTGTCTGGTTGCAGCTAGCCCCTATTATAGGCCTTCCACAGCATGGAGCTGTGGAAAATGAGATTTGCTGATGTTTACTTGCTTCCAGAAACACTCAGAATAGCTCTTCTACATGAGGGAGCTTGGTTTCCAAGCCCACTGAAGCAGTTGTTCTACAAGGCAGAGCTGTGGTGGTGGTGGTGGTGCGGTGCTGTCCCTAGTTCCAATGCATGGCCTCTCGTTTTCTTACCCAGTTTCCATAGATTTTGTTGAATAAATGCTTTTAAATTTGTTGTAAGCCCTCTGATCAATCTTCACTAATTTTAACCAGCTTAATAGATGTCTCTTTAGGGAGAAGTGTCCATGAGCTCCACACACCAGTATAACAAAAGTTCCATCCCCCTTCTACTCCCTGTCCACTCTTCACCACCTGTTTTGACACTTTCTGTTTACTTTTATCGCTTTAATAGACTGTAAATAGCCTTACTACCTTTTAGGTAGACTTTTTGTTGGATGTTTCTCTTTCCTACAAATATAGCTGATTCATTCCATTTGGATCATGCCAATCCCCTTTTTTTGACAAACATAATGACTTCACTTGCACTCATATCAAATTTACACTTTTCAATATACTCTACTGATTGACTCTTTTGTGTAAAATCCCTCATATTTCAATCGCACCCTTGTTTGGACTGCTCTAGCCAAATTTAACCTTTATACCAAAATGTCACTCACCAATACATCCTCACATACATTAACTAATATTATAAAATATTTTACCTTTTGGGTTATTTGTCTTTCAATATTTTTTTTTAAGGAAAGAAATTATTATCTTCTGAACACTACAATGGTAAATATTTTAACCACTACTTACTACCAATTTTCTTATTACATTGTAATATCATTATTGTCATTTAAACTTTCTTCTACTGTATCATAAACTTCTTAACTATATATTATTTTTAAATTGAATAACTTTATTAATTTAATAATATTGGAAGTTTTTGCTTTTACTAAATTAGGCAATCAAATTATTTCCTTTGTTTTACCTTCTATATTTCAGAACCTCAAAATGATAAGATGATCATTGATAGATATTGGATGATTATTGTAAGAGCAAAGATTACTATACATTTTTACTTACTTGGTTGTACAGCCCTCAAACATTCCAGTTTTGATGAAATATTGGCAAACAATGGTAGTTTTAACTTTACTTTTCCTTTGAAAATTTAATTCTAAGAAGATAGACTCTGCAGTGCCAATGGCTGCAAATTTACTTGCACAGTAATCTAAAACAAATTGAGGAGCCATTAGTAATAGAGTTTGATGAGTTAATTCTTGAAGCTATTTAAAAAATTGAACCATTCCTACTCTTTCTCAGGTTTGTCCTTGGTGACATCACTGTTAAAATAATTTATATGGCCAAACACTCCACTCTTTCATCTCCACACTATATAGTCAATGCCAAGTCACTGAATAAATACAAGATGGGAATTACCTCAATTTCTCCTAACCTAAGAAGACAAATGAGCCAATAGGTGTATTCTTCTCTTTGGTTTAAAAAAAAAAGGATAGTATCTCCCTTACCATTGCCATTAAAAATAGAGATATATAAATAAAGGGAACGTGGCATTATAAACAGAGCCAAATGCACCAAAGATTTCCTCCTTGGTTCAGGAAGAGCTTCTTTTTACCTTGGAAGAGTCCCAGTTTCTGGTTGCCAGGTACTGGGGAGTACCAAGGCACATGGTGAAGCAAAGTACTCACCTGCTAGTCCATTAACACCAAATAATCCTGCTGCACTTGAAATACAGACCAAGTGACCATGGTTAGCTGCAATCATGTCAGGAAGGAAGGCCTTATAAGTCTTGAAGATATAAATACACTGTGTCAGTATTTTATTTGTTTATTATTTTATTTGCTCAGTCAATATTTGATGAATTTACTAGTTCATTGAACAGATGTTGAATGCTTACGATGTGTTAAATTCTATGTCACTACAAAGGTAGATACCATATAGTCACTGACCTCAAGGATCTTATAGTTTGTTATGTGTTAATCTGTAATATATACCATTTGATTTGTTTTTCCTTTTAAGTAAACAATACCAATTGAATTAAATGAGTTTTTTTACTTTTATGGTTTGCTAAAAAAAAAGTAAAGCTTAGTTTTTCTAGTATGCTGAATTCTTGCATGTAGTTTTTAGAGATTTCTTTTAAAATTGAATCTCATTCACCTTCCTAACTTTATAATAAACAAGATTTCTCCTCACCCAAATGGATTGGCAGAATGAGAGAAATCAATTGTGGAAGGAAGAATTTCAGTGCAAGGGAAACATGCTCTGGTAAGTAAATAGCTTTGGAATAGTCTGCCATGATTTAGATATATTCTTAGCTATTTTGGTCAAATCCATTTATTCATTCTCAGGCAATATATTAATTCAGTGATCTAAGTCACTATGCCATGAAGAAGCCCCAGTGTCCCTATGCCCATGCTTCTCAGGTTCTCTCAGGGAACTTTTCCTTTCCCTCTTCCCCATTAAACCAACAAAACCAAGCCAATTGCTGTTGAGTTGATTCCTATGCATGGAGACCCCATAGGTGCAGAACAGAACTGCTCCGTAAGGTTTTCTGTGACCTTTCAGAAGCAGATCACCAGACCTTTCTTCCAAAGCACTCTGGGTGTGTTCCAACTGCAAACCTTTCAGTTAGTAGTTAAGTACTTAACCCAGGGACTTTCACCACCCAGGGACTCCCTTCCCCAGTACTGAGCTCTTTTTCCTAAATCCATGAACAAAGCAGACTTTTTGAAAAACAGCTGTATCTCTATTCCCTGATTTATCTTGTGGCAGGATGTAATGCAAACAAGCATCATGCTTGTTTGATTGTATTTGATCTAAGATGTGTTTTTTTCTCATGGAAACTAATTAGTGAACTTCCTAAACTTTTTCTCATTGGTTTATGGGTTAGATGAGTTATAATTGTTTCCACAAAATATTTCAAGTTAGAAGAATGCATATATGTGTTCAATTAAATTGAATTTATAACAACTGATGACTTTTTTGTGGAAAAAATGATTATGTGTTTTGGAATTTGGGACAACATTGTAAATCATTTGAACTTAGTTACTCCACTTGCACTGGCTTTCACTATTTTTCAGTGTCATTTCTTTGACAACCATTTTAATATCTGCGGTGACTGTGTTGCTGTGCAGTATCAACTTAAAGAACTTGGAGACTACATGATAATACTAAATTGGGTTAATTCATGAGCAAAAGTACTGAGTTACCAAGCACAGTTTTTACTTTTTGTAAAGCTTGAATTAAGATGGCAAATTTAACTTGGTGTATATTCTTTTCTTCTAATATGTTGATAAGGTTAATTACATTTTAAAGTTATAGTTGAAAGCTAAAATGATATTATTACATAGTGGTTAAGAACTCGGCTGCTAACCAAAAGGTCAGGAGTTCGAATCCACCAACCACTCCTATAGGGTCACTATGAATTGGAACTGACTTGATGGCAATGGGTTTTGTTTTGGTTTGATGTATATTTTTGTATGTTTCAAGTCATACACGTACATAAATGCATATTAAAATTAATGAGCAAGAGAAACTTATGTGTGAGAAAGATGAGGGACCTGGTAGTTTAACACTGGTGTTGTAATATTCTGCCTGTTCTAAACAGGAGTATTAAAATCTTATCTTTGTTTAATCTGCCCAGTGAGCAGAGATTTTTATCTTGCTAGAATATACTTACTCATTAGGCTGTTAACTTTTGTGCCCTTGAGTTAAATTTTTCATGCTATTGGCAATGCTCAATAGTTGTTTACAGAAATATATGGACTTTTCATACTCACCAATAAAAGAAAATTAAAAAGAAAAAAATTTTACCCAGAAATGAGACAAGGCATTTACAAGAAATGATTTTTCTACCATATCATCTGGAATATCAAGGAACAATTTTCCTGTCACAATTCCAGCGTTGTTAATGAGGATGGTCACATCACCAACTTCCTTTTTAACCTGGACAGAAGACAGAAAAAAGGATTTCATTTGAAGAACTATATTTTGATATTTTTCTCCAGGTCATTATTTTTTTTTCTCCTTTTGTTCAGTTAGAATTAGACTTCTATTTTATTTTTATCTTGCATGTAGAAATTTAGCAATTTTAAAGTAACTTCTGATTAAATATATTAAAAAACACTTTGATTTGGTAATTTTGTATAAAGAAGCTTGATGTTTTCGTGGAAATGACCTAATGTTGTAATATGTTTTTACTACCTATTGTTTCTGTTATGTCCATGCCCTTTCCTTCAGGGTAACTAATGGCTAGTGATATTGTAAGAGGGGGTCTGCCTGTGAATGTCTTCCTCAGATGGTATTTGGGTCTTCCCTCAGCACACATGGACTGATAGTTACTTCTATAGGTGTCACCTTCCCACTCCTCTGTCAGCAGGATGGCAGGGAGCCTACTGCATTTTCCCCAGTGCCTGGCCTGTGCTTGGCATGAAGCCATCTCACACCTTTACGTGTTTGATCTGCTGTCTTGAGTGTACAAGATACAGTACACTCTTGTCCAAAAGATTACCCCAAATCCAATGAATGTCCAAGGCTGTCGTTTCCCTGAGTCCCACTGCTGCATCTTATCCTAAGCACCTTCCTTTGCTCTTCCCTGTTGAGTTGCCCACCTCACCTGCTTGTATAATCCACAATACCCCACCTGCTGTATGCAGGTAAAGTGTGCTTCCAAATGGTGATTTTCTCTCTTTTACCATTTTGCCTTAAGTTTAGGCTTTGTAAGTGATACTGTTAAAGCTGGTCCAGGGGTAAAGCATGATGTATGCTTAAACAACTACTTTGAAGACTTTGTTTTTCGCCCTGAATGTGATATTTTGCATCATATAGTTTCTTTGTTTTCAAAAAGAAGCACTGCCTGCTGCCATAACTGGGTTTTCTAATTTCTGGTCCATGCACCGCTATGTGTTGAGCCTACAAGATGGTACGGTTTGGAGATACCAAGTAAACATTGCTGCTGATGTAGTAAATTTAAACAAGCTATTAAAGGAAGAATTAATATTGCTGAGCTGACCTTGAGCTGAAGGAGTTAGTTTCCTTGAATTTGGAGAGAGGCAGGATAGAGAAAGACATTCATGAGATGCTAATTTTTAAAGAAGGATATTCCATTGACTTGATGAAGGAATCAGTGTGAACAAGGGCTAAATCTTAGACTAATGAGTGAGGTATATGGGCCCAAGATCGATAGCAGTCAAGGAGATGGAATATTTGGCATAAGATGTTGCTGAATACTTAAGACAAACCTAGAGTGGTCACCACAGCCCTCTCTAAGAAGCAGCCCTGAGATTTAGGGACACCAAAGACAAGAGGAACTATATTGAGGTCATGGGATTTAATTTTCACTATAACTCTGGGAGGTAGTTTAAAAAAAAACAAAAAACCAAACCCGTTGCCATCGAGTCGATTCCCACTCATAGCAGCCCTATAGGACAGAGTTGAACTGCCCCATAGGGTTTCCAAGGAGCGCCTGAAGGATTCGAACTGCTGACCTTTTGGTTAGCAGCTGTAGCTCTTAACCACTACATCACCAGGGTTTCTCAGGGAAGGTAGTTTAGGAAGGTATTATTATCCCAATTTGTAAGTGAAGGAATAGACGTTCTGAGAGGTTAAGATTTTGCCAAAGAACACATGACTTTTGAGAGGAATAAAAGCAATTTACACTCCATTTAGATTCAACATCCCAAGCTTTTTCACTCAAACTTTTTACTCCCTAGCCCAAATCATTATTGTCGTAAGAAACAAATATCATGTAACTGCACACACCCACACACCCACACAGATATTAATGATTGATTGGTTATTTGGGAGTAAAATGTGAACTTGGTTATACCAACAAAAACTATTTATTTGTAAATTGGATTTCTATGGTGGAGATGAGTATGTTACCGCAATCTAATATTGGGAAGTTGATTATTGTGCCCTTTAGAATGCAGTCATTACTATTCAAATCACTCATAAATTTCAGGGTTTTGGGTAATGCTTGTGATTGGTTGAAATTCTTGTGGTAAGGTCTAACATTAGTATTTGGGTTCCTTGGGAGTAAATAAATTATAGAAGTTAAACAAAAGAGCAGATAAAGTACTTAGAAGAATTCTGTATATAGGATGGTGGGAAATAAGAAGACAGGTAGATGCACTCCAGTAGTGAAAGATAATTTTTGTTTATGGTCTTTAACCTGATTTTCTACTAGAGAGCAAGAGAATTCTAAACAAGAAAGAAAGATTTGGTAGGGGCCAGAGGGGGCAGGTGGGAGATTACAATTTTGATCAGAGGAAATGGATCATGAAGGGGTCTTTTTCATTGGTCCCACATTTGTTGATGGCCCGGGGGATGGAGGGAGGGCGGGCAGCACAGGCTCTGAGGCTAGGCTGCTGGGTGGGGTCATATATCAGCTCAATTACTTACCTGGAGCCCTGCTAGCCCAGTGGTTAATTGCTTGGCTGCTAACCAAAAGGTTGGCAGTTCAAATCCACCAGGCACTCCTTGGAAACCCTATGGGGCAGTTATACTTTGTCCTATAGGGTTGCTATGAGTCAGAATTGACTTGACAGCAATGGGCTTAGGTTTGGTTTTTGGATTACTTATCTGCTGTATGACATGGGCAAGTTCCTTACTCCCTCACTACCTCTGATTCATCATCAGTAAAATGGAGAAAAGAATAGTTCCTGAGTCCCTGGGTGGTGTAAATTGTTTACACTCTCAGCTGCTAACCTAAAGGTTGGCAGTTTGAGTCCACTCAGAGGTGTCTTGGAAGAAAAGCCTGGTGATCTACTTCCAAAAAATCAGTCACTGAAAACCCTGTAGAGCACAGTTCTACTCTGACACACTTGGGGTCACTATGAGTTGGAATTGGCTTGACAACAACTTGTTTACCTCATTATGAAGACTACATATGATAAAGCCTCAGGAGAGAAGATTTCTTCAGGGGTCGCTATATGGCTAGTTAGTGGCACATGAAGCCCCTGCTGGACAAACTGCTTCCTTGAGCTCACCCCAAAGATATTTAATTGTGAATTTTCTGTGTCACATTTATTACCCTTTTGCAAAATGAGAACTGACTTTTATTCTACTTGCTTTGTTCTAAAATATACCTAGGGATCTAGAATACACATATTTTTGATAGATGGTAATGACATTGTAAAGAACAAGTCTCATTGGACCCCAAAACAAGAAAGGAGGAAATAGGAAACAGAAGAGTGAAGAGGGTGGTTCAGAAATAAGGGTCACAGAGTAAGGAGTCAATAAATGTTTTCTGAATTAATAAATAAGTAAATTTGTATTTGGAGCTGAGATTGCCAAGGGGAAGGAAAATTCCTTGGGGGTTCTGTTGTCAAACTGAGTTGTATGCACCCTCTTGGGTCCTAGCTAGTATATCATAGAACTGGCTTTGGAGCCAAGCTCCTTGGGTTTGAATCCTGCTCTGTCAACCACTAGCTTTATGATCTAGGGCACGTTATTCCCTAGTTTCTGCATTTGTAAATGGGGATAATATTAATGATATACACCTAGTAGGGCTGTGTTGTGTTGATTAAATGAGTTATTATGTGTAGAGTACTTAGAATAGTAACTACTGAAAAGCTTAACCATTGTTGTTAGAGGGCATGGTAACTACACAAGAAATGCTGACTGTTATTATTAGATTATTTATCAATATTTAGTGCCAAGTTAGAACAAATATCAGTAGGCTAAGTCTAAGAGGAAATTTAATGCTTCCATACTGTTTATATCCTTAGTACATGACAATAATGGCTATGCATCAGAATAAAAAAAAAAAAGAAAATTAAAGGTGGATGTGATCTGAAGGTCATCTAGTCCAAGTACTTCATTTTACAGTTGAACAAACTGGAAACTAGAGAGGGTAAGTAAGTTGGTAAAAATTGCACAACCAATGTATGGCAGACAGAACCAGGATGGGACCCAGTTTCTACTCACTCTTGAAGGTAAATCAGTCACCCAGAAAAGCAGCTGGGCAATGTTGGGCTCAGAAAGCTTGTCGAATTCTTATTTGCATTGTCTGATAGTGTCACCTTTTTGGAGGATACAAGGTCAGATTTCCGACATGCAGAATCAACAGAAGGCACATAGACTTTGGGCACATTTATGACAACTTCTCTCCTTCCATTGTAAAAATGCATACCAGATGCAATATTTTTTTTTAAGAACATCAGTCAGCCTACCTGTTTAGCAACACTGTAGACCTCTTGCCTGTTGCTACAGTCACACGTGTAGGCAAATACTTTTACGCCACCATTTTCCTTAACTAGTCTACTTGTTTCCATATTGCCTTCTTTATTAATGTCCCATAGGACTAAAATGGCTCCAAGACGAGCAAATTTTATGGCCAACTGTCTCCCAAGGCCGCTGCCAGCTCCCGTTATCTCCAGCAACACTCTTTTTCTTCTTGGGAATTATCTTGTAAAGATTCTAAAAAGTAATACAGAAATTTTCCCACAAATTTGGAAGTGTCCAGAACTGTATCCATGTTAACTGAGTGAAGAATGGTATGTCCTAATAATGAAAAAGGTAATTGACAAATAAACTTCATTATGACAAAAATTTCAATATACATACAGCATTTAGTATTTGCCTTTGAGGCAGTAATTTTCCAATATATGTATTTTAGCGACAACTACCAAAATTGTTGAATTCTTAAGTTATATAAATAATGATTATAAAACTCTTTTATGTTAACAAGAAACTTTCAACTTTACAAAGCACTTTCATATGCATAATCTAATTTGACTGTAGGCAGGTAGGTAGGGCAGCTTTACAGTTAAAGACAGATAGTCTTTGAGGAGTTTACTGCTGTCCCAGCATCATGTGACTAGTAAACCAAGATCTTAGATTCTTAGTCTAGTCATTCATTTTTTTTTTACTGTACAAACACACTTGAAGATCTCATAATTTGTAGAAATTTGCTTTTCATTAGGCAGTTGTTCAAAAATATAGAAAAACTATTGTAATACAAATAAAACCTTTATACATTTCACCTGATCCTCACAATATCCCTTTAAGAGAGTCAAATCTGCTATTATGATTATTATTCATAGTGAGGACACTGAGAAACACAAAGATTAAGTGGCTGTATTCAAAGTTACACAGCTGACTAATAAAATGGGCAATGTCCAGGTCAAGCACAGATGTATCCTGCATTGCAGCCCAGGACCTTTGCCTTTACAGCAGGCTGTTCTTGGAGCCAGCATGTCCTTTTTCCAGAGCAAACCTTAAAAGATCAATATAGCATTTCTGGTTTTGGCGACACTCTTGAATTTTCGTAATCATATTCTGTTATACTTGAACATTCTTAGACAATCATTTCATGTAGGAATTATACATTGACTTCTATAACACCCACTCTAAAACAGGCCACAGCCATTTGAGGAAATAGCAAACACTACCACCATGATAATAACAAAAACAGCAATAGGTATGGGGCTTATCCTTCACTCCAGGTAGAGTTGAAAGTTGATAGCAAGGAGTCACAAAGGGGCTAAATATCTGGCTATGGTCACACAGGTAATAATGATGGGGATGGACTTCGAACCGACACAGTGAAAACTATAAAACGTTGCAGAAAGAAATTAAAAAAGACATAACTAAATGGAAAGACATCCTGTGCTTATGGATGGGACCTAAATCTTACCTGTAGAAATTATGCACTCCAGCAGCACAGGTGTCTGTTTTTACAGGGACCGAAGCAAGCGGAGCTCATATGTTAGCTGCCTCTTAAATAATTTTGCTGTTCTGTGTCCTCCCACCTTGTGATGTCTGTACAGGTGTTGGAGAGAGGTGTGGCAACAGTGGGTGTTTTCCTTTCACCCAATTTTGGATTAATGCAATAGATGGCATACTTCCTGTATTTTTCAACACCCAAAGTGATGTGCAACAAAGGGTGTGAAGGCACACGTTTTAAAATAATTTACAGGCATAATGCTGCCATTATTGTCAGCAGAACTTTGAACTGGTTTGTTCTGGTTAGAACCCCCGCAAAGAATTACATTTCCACCCCTGATATACTGAATTGGAATCTATAGTTTAACAAGAACCCCAGGTGATTCTTACGTATAATAATTTTGAGGACCGCTGCTCTACTAGTAAGAAGCGCTAGTGTCACAATGGTTTAAGCGCTCCACTGCTAACCAAAGATGGGTGGTTCGAACTTACCAGCTGCTCCGTGGGACAAAGATGTGGCAGTCTGCTTCCATAAAGATTACAGCCTTGGAAACCCTATGGGGCAGTTCTGCTCTGTCCTGTAGGGTCGCTATGAGTCGGAATTGACTTGGTGGCAATGAGCGTGGTTTGGCTCTACTAGTGGTGCTCAGAATAGATCCCTAACTAGCAACTTTAGCATCATCTGGGAACTTGTTAGAAATGCAAATTCACAGCATGGGTTCAAACCGGAATCAATCTGTTCAAAGTGCTGATTGTCAGCCCTCCATGGATACCCTAAAATCTTTACTTCAACATGGAGAACAGAAACATTTTGTTGCCTCATACGGGTAATTTTGAAATCCACAGTGGATTTCACAATTGATTGCAGCAGTACACCAGCAGGGAATTCTCAGAAATTCAAGGGTTCAGAAGAGGATGTGGACCGAGAGATATCACTGCTGATGTCAGATGGATCTTGGCTGCAAGCAGAGAATACCAGAAAGATGTTTATCTGTGTTTTATTGACTATGCAAAGGAATTCAACTGTATGGATCTTAACAAATTATGGATAACATTGTGAAGAATGGGAATTCCAGAACCCTTAATTGTGCTTATGAGGAGCCTGTACATAGACCAAGAGGCAGTGACTCAAACAAAACAAGGGTATACTGTGTGATTTAAAATCAGGAAAGGTGTGTGTCAAGGTTGTATCCTTTCACCATACTTATTCAATCTGTATGCTGAGCAAATAATCTGAGAAGCTGAACTATATGAAGAAGAATACAGTGTCAAGATTGGAGGAAGACTCATTAACAACTTGTGATATGTAGATGACACAACCTTGCTTGCTGAAAGTGAAGAGGACTTGAAGCACTGATGAAGATCAAGGACTACAGCCCTGAGTATGGGTTACACCTCAACATAAAGAAAACAAAAATCCTTACAACTGAACCAATAAGCAACATCATGATAAATGGAGAAAATATTGAAGTTGTCAAGGATTTCATTTTACTTGGATCCACAATCAACACTGATGGAAGCAGCAGTCAAGAAATCAAACAATGCATTGTATTGGGAAAATCTGCTGTAAAAGTCCTCTTTCAAGTGTTAAAAAGCAAAGATGTCACTTTGAGGACTAAGGTGCACCTGACCCAAGCCATGGTATTTTCAGTTGCCTCATAAACATGTGAAAGCTGGGCAATGAATAAGGAAGACTGAAGAAGAATTGATGCCTTTGAATTATGGTGTTGGCAAAGAATATTGAAGATACCACGGACTGCCAGAAGAATGAACAAATTTGCCTCGAAGTATAGCCAGAGTGCTCTTTAGAAGCGAGGATGGCAGACATTGTGTCATGTATTTTGGACATGTTATCAGGAGGGACCAGTCCCTGGAGAAGGACATTATGCTTGGTATAGTAGAGGGTTGGCGAAAAAGAGGAAGACCTTCAGTGAAATGGATTGGCATGTGGCTGCAACAATGGGCTAAAACATAGCAACAATTGTGAGGATGGTGCAGGACTGGGCAATGTTTTGTTCTGTTGTACATAGGGTCGCTAGGAGTCGGAACTGACTTGATGGCACCTAAAAATAAAAACATACTTAGATCCAACGATTGTTAACAATTTACTATATTTGTTTTCTATCTCATCCTCTCTTTTTTTTAGTGACTTTTTTGTGGTAAAATATACACAACATGAAACTTGTCATTTTACACATTTTCAACTGTGCAATCAAGTGGCATTAGTCACATTCACCATGTTGTGCAAACATCACCATTATTTGTTTCCCAAAACTTTTTCATCACCCCAAACAGAAACTCTGGATCCATTAAGCAATAACTTCTCATTACCCCCTTCCCCCAGCCCATGCTAATGACTAATCTACTTTCTGTCTTTATGTATTTGTGTATTCTAGATATTCCATATAAGTGAGATCATACAATATTTGTACTTTTGTGTCTGACTTATTTCCCTCAGCATAATGTATGCAAGGTTAATCCATGTTATATCATGTGTAAGAACTGTATTCCTTTTTATTATTGTTGTTGTTAGGTGGTGTTGAGTCAGTTCTGACTCATAGTGACTTTATGTACAACAAAACGAAACACTGCCCGGTCCTGTGCCATCCTCACAATCGTTGTTATGCTTGAGCCCATTGTTGCAGCCACTGTGTCAATCCATCTTTTTGAGGGTCTTCCTCTTTTTTGCCAACCTCTACTTTACCAAGCATGATGTCCTTCTCCAGGGACTGATCCTGATAACATGTTCAAAGTATGTGAGACATAGTCTTGCCATTCGTAGTTCTAAGGAGTGTTCTGGTTTTACTTCTTCCAAGACAGATTCGTTCATTCTTTTGGCAGTCCATGGTACATTCAATATTCTTCACCAACAGCATAATTCAAAGACATCAAATCTTCTTCAGTCTTTCTCATTCATTGTCCACACATCTGTCAGTTTGTCCTACTGTGGGGGCTTGCGTGTTGCTGTGATGCTGGAAGCTATGCCACCGGTATTCAAATACCAGCAGGGTCATCTATGCTGGACAGGTTTCAGCTGAGCTTCCAGACTAAGACAGACTAGGAAGAAGGACCAGGCAGTCTAATTCTGAAGAGAATTGGCCAGTGAAAACCTTATGAATAGCAGCAGAACATTGTCTGATATAGTGCTGGAAGATGAGCCCCTCAGGTTGGAAGGTACTCAAAATACCACTGGGGAAGAGCTGCCTCCTCAAGGTAGAGTCAACCTTAATGATGTGAATGGAGTTAATCTTTCGGGATCTACATCTGCTAATATGGCCAGACTCAAAATGCGAAGAAACAGTTGCAAACATCCATTAAAAATAGGAACTTGGAATGTATAAAGTATGAATCTAGGAAAATTGGAAATCATCAAAAATGAAATGGATCTCATAAATATCAGTATCCTAGGCATTAGTGAGCTGAAATGGACTGGTATTGTCCATTTCAAATTGAACAATCATGTGGTCTACTATGCCGGGAAAGATAACTTGCAGAGGAATGACACTGCATTCATCATTGAAAAGAACATTTCAAGAGCTATCCTGAAGTACAACGCTGTCAGGAATTGAATAATATCTATACCTCTACGAGGAAAACCAGTTAATACGACTATTGTTCAAATTTACGCACAAACCGCTAAGGCCAAAGATGAAGAAATTGAAGACTTACCAACTTCTGCACTCTGAAATTGGTCGAATATGAAATCAGGATGTATTGATAATTACTGGTGATTGAAATGTGAAGTTGGAAATGAAGAAAGATCAGTAGTTGGAAAATATGGCCTTGGTGATAGACATGATGGCAGAGATC